CTAAGGTCATTCGATGAATTCCCCTCTATTATAAATTTATTGTATAAGAATAGTATTTTAACAAATTAGATCTTCAAATCCTAAATATTTTCCATTTCTCTTGTTTTCATATAAAACAAAGATAATTAGATATCCCAAGGGGATGAGAATTTTACTTCAAATCTCAGGAATCTATCAAAGGCAATGGAAATATTGGATTTATGCATAAGAAAAGCCCACATATGCGAGATTTGCATGTCTCTCCTCCATCATCCAATCCATAACCCAAATCTCTTCTTATTTGTCATTTAGTTTTTAGATTTCACTCATATATATTCTTTTGATGATATCGGATATAAATGACTCAAATTTAAAATGATATATATATATATATACACACACAAATAGAATTAGCTAATTTTATTTTTAAAAAATCAAAATTTCAATGAAAAATTTAAAATTATAAGCGTAAACTAAACACATAATTAGAACGCTTTTCTATAACTATTATACAAGAAACTAGCAACTTGTGTTCATACAAGGACAATAATGTATACATGAATAAATGTCAAGTGTGTGTATATATAATATTTTTAAAGAATTGATTTGAATCTTTTATTTTGAATAATAATAATAATTTGGCTTAGAATAACCTGTCCAATCTCAATAAAATCCTCAAGATTCTACGACAAAATAAAAACATTTCCATGCAAAAATACTAAGAATCTCAGTTGTTTTTCAGCTAATCATGAACTGTCTCTTCTGATTTTAATCAAAATTTTAATAATATTATGATAATAACGATAGCTTATACAGTTGAAAGTCGGTTAATTAAGTACGAAAGAATCTCTACAAAACCGACATTTCTGATTTGTCGGCGTCTGAGATTATTATTTAGTATTTTTATTATAATTTGTTTTTTAATAATTCTTTAATTTGAGTACAATTACATGTCTGTAGCTTACTTAATTGTTTGACTTATATTAATTATTATTTTAATTCTAATTATACACAAAAATGGACTTGAAAATTTTCCACGTGTATGACAGTACAGTGGAGAAATGGCTAAGATAATGTAAGTGAGATTTTTTAATTTTCAATATAGTCTATTTCGGGGATTATTCCCCTATCTAAGGTGAATTGAACAGTATCAACCCAAAAATGCTAGGTGTTCAACGTGTCTTCAAGTTAAATATGAAGATTCCACGACTGCATGACGTCTTCAGGTAAATGATGGAAACTCCATGACTGCATAGTGTCTTCAGACAAATTGAGAAGACCCTAGGAGTGTACGGCGTCTTTAAATCAATAAAAAACCATAATTCATGAAATAATATGGTGGATGCCTTATATGGGGAAATTATTTTTCCCACAACCCTATGGGCGAGGAAGCCACAGTTCAGTATATACGGACCATGGAGAATTACATTTGTTTTAATTAATTAATTTTGTTAATTTATTGTTTCAGTGCATTTAAGTGAGTGTTGTTGCAGCGAACCTAACGGGAAGACAGTTCAAGAACAACCCTGGTCAGTGAACAATTAATCTGGGTACATTCAGGTATCTGCTGGAATTTTCAATTAAGGTTCAAGTAAGAAAATTTAAATGTTTCTCTTCATGATAATTTTAAAATGTCAAAATTTAAATTTAGTTACGGTTCATGTGAGAAAATTTTGTTAAATTATGAAAAAATCAGAACATCTATATATACCAGTTCTGTTTGATATCGCTTAAGCAAGTTCTCGAGTTCAAGTCCTCGTGTATGCAAAAAGTCTATGTTGGGAGAATCACCCATCAAAGTCAGGTATGTGACGCGGATTAGTCCAGATTTATAAAGAAGAAAACTTGGAACCGAGAGGGCAACCAAAAAAATTTAGTTGGTTTCAATAATGAAGGAAATTACATTTCCTATTAAATAATATAAATTCGAGTAGGGTTATTTATAACATATCTATAGATTTTGCAACCATTTAAGGAAGTCCTTTTATTAGTACCATTTCTTGGAAATATATGAGCATTGTCAAGTTTACTTGGAAAACTACACTTCATTTTTTTTAGTAGTATTTGTACATTTGATTCTATGAAGAAAGGTTTAAAAAGAAAAGAAAACAAAGAACAATTCAACGGATAGGTACACATTTCTTCTTTATTATACAAATTCAGCCTTGGTTTTATCTTTTAATATATGAAAAAGAAAATTAGCTGACCCTATTCCCATATGTAATGGGGTAAAGGAGAGGTAGGGTAGTAAGCTGACCCCAACGCCAGGTTGAGAGCAACTTCCGTGGAAGACGTCCAACAGAATTATGAATTGCTCATCGTGGGACTCGATCTCACTACCACAAGGTTAAGAGCCTTGAGCTCTACCAACTGAGCTAGGCGGACAATTCTATCTTTTAATATATGAATTATTCGGAAACCACTTGCAACCTTTCAAATCAAAAGTTGGAATCAATACTAACAACCAATTGGTCTATTGCGATGAGACACTGGATCCTTTAAACATGGTTAGAGGTTCGAATCATAGCGATTGCGAACGAAGTAAACTGGGTTGGAGAGTCACTCTTGCCGCTAGAGCTGTAAATGAGATGAGACAGATTGCGAGCTACTCGAGATCGACTCTATCAAGGCTCGATAAATACTCAAATCGAATGGACTCGAGCTCTTAACGAGCTGAAAATGAGCTACTTGATATTCGACTCGAAAAGCTCGTGAGCAGCTCGAAAATATAATATATTTAGATTTTATTTTCTTTAAAAATAAATTATTAATAATACTAACATTTATGTATTGATTTTTTTTTTTAAAAATACAGTAAGATTTTCATGTATTTAAGGTTCAGGTTCGAGTTTGAGTTTGAGGCTTCAATCAAGTTAAATTTAATATTTTTTTCATTTCGAGCCTTTTCGAGCTGCTCACGAGCTTCAGTTCAGTATTTCGAGTTCGAGCTTGAAAATTTTAAACTCGCGAGTTTTCGAGTCGAGTCGAGCTCAATTTCAGAGTTTTCGAGTCGAGTCGAGCTCAACAATACTCAAGCTCCATTTCAGTATTTGTACATTTGATTCTATGAAGAAAGGTTAAAAAAGAAAAGAAAACAAAGAACAATTCAACGAATAGGTACACATTTCTTCTTTATTATACAAATTCAGCCTTAGTTTTATCTTTTAATATATGAATTATTCGGAAAACGACTTGCAACCTTTCAAATCAAAAGTTGGAATCAATACTAACAATCAATTGGTCTATTGCGATGAGACACTGGATCAATAAACTAGGTTGGGAGAGTCACTCTTTCCGCTGCAGTATTCAATCCAAATTAGTCGATCAATAAATCGAACGCCGATGGTAAATAAAGGTTGGAATCAATATTTAGGGTTCAAATCATACAAAGTTAATCCGGGGTTAAAAAGTTGCCACGTCAATAATAAAATACTAATTTAACATTAGTTAAGTCCTTTAACATTAGTTTGCTTCCACATTTGTGATTTTGTTTGCCTGAATGGTATTGTGTCAGTTTGGACGATTTGCTATGGTTACTCTTTTTCCTCCGCTCAAGTTTAGAATTTTTTTAATGATTTTGTTTTGTTTGTGTATCTTATTTTTTTAATTAAACTAAGATGATTACAAAATAGTATATATTCTAAATATTCTCAACCATTTGACAATAAACGTCCAATCACCCTACTACAGTCGCTAGTGCTCGAACCTGTGACCTCTAAGAACAACAACGGTTCCTTTAACAACTGAAGTAAATTGGTTTATACTGTTTGTATATCATAAAATACAATACAAAATACCCTTTTCAAAAAAAAGTTTATTCTTTTAATATATGATTTGGTGATCAAATTTAGTAGATGCATATTAAGAATTCAATAAAAAAATAATGACGCCAACATGGGATCATAATAAATGTATGAGCATTGTCAAGTTTATCTGGTAAACTACGCTTCATTTTTTATAGCATTGTCAAGTTTACTTGGTAAACTACGCTTCTTTATTATACAAATTAAGCATTAGTTTAATTTTTAATATATGGTTTAATCCAAAAACGATTTGCAACCTTTCAAGTCAAAGGTTGTCATGTCAATAATAAAAAATAAGTGAACTATCAGAGTCATTTCGAACATTTTCGGGATCCTGAACGAAACTAAAAAATTGGTCCTTATAGAATGAAAGTATATTGCATTACTTTGAACAATTAATCTAATGTTACATTAATAAAGCATAGGAAAATGACTAAATTAGGGGCCTAAATTATAAAAGTAAAAAGTGAGATTGAAAACAATTAAGGGTCTCAATTATAAAGATAAAAAGTTAGATTAAAAAAATTTAGGGGCCTCAATTATAGATATAAAAGTGAGATTAAAAATATTAGGGGCCTAAACTATAAAAGTAAAAGGGAATTGAAAAAAGAGGGGCATCAATTATAAAAGTTAAAAATGAGAATGAAAAAATTAAGGGCCTCAATTATAATGATTAAAAGTGAGATTGAAAAAAATTAAGAGCCTCAAAGTGAGATTAAAAAAGATAGGGGCCTAAATTATAAAAATTAAAAGTGGGATTGAAATGATTAGAGACCTCAATTATAAAGATAGAAAGTGATAATAAAAAAGATAGGGGCCTAAATTATAAAAATTAAAAGTGGGATTGAAATGATTAGAGACCTCAATTATAAAGATAGAAAGTGATATTAAAAAAGATAGGGGCCTAAATTATAAAAATTAAAAGTGGGTTTGTTTTATTACAGGATCATCCGATTGTAAGTCAAAGCTTAATACCTTCATATTAGCCAACTATCACAAGTTATTGAACAATTTTCCCATTTTATGTAGAAGTATCGCAAAAGTTTCCAGTTGCTCAAAATGGCATATCACTTTGTAAACGGCAAGCAATTTATAATGCAGAGCAAGTCGGACTCATCCTGCTTGATTTTAATCAAAGAACTTCTTTTTCTATTATAGACAATTAACTTGGAAGTTGTAAATTTTATTATTAACCAATGATAGCATAATCTTTATTCCTTTCATTATGTCTTATTTGTGTGGAGGGCCTATGCCTATACCACTAACAGGACTATTAACTTGCGGAGTTCTCGGAAATTACAGCAATGCTTCCAAACAGCAGAGGGTAGATACCTGCATGTAGAACGATTGCATATCATCCTTGATTGCTTCTTTGAGATCTTCCACATCCTCATCAGTAACAACGACATAGGTACTAGTGCCAGCAATGGCATGTTCAACGCCCTGCATAATGATATAACAGGAGATTAACTAATAATTTATTTGTGCAGGTCTCAGATGCAATAGAGAAGCCAATATATTGCTAAGTTTCAATCACCTGTGCAGCGGTCTTGGTACCCTGTGCCTCTTTTATCTCTTTGTGCTGCATATACGGCTCCCCAGTCCCTACAGTCATCCAACCAGAAAGTCCCATGAAGGTTGTTTCCTAGCCTTACCCTGTGGTAATATCCATTCGTATTAAGAGAAAACAAAGGACACCATCAAATCATATTAACATCCATAAGGAGCAATACATAGGATGTCAATACAAGAGATTTCTATAACCTTCAATATAACCTCCATCCAGACAGAGAGTTTAAACAGATATGAGAGAGGAAACCATACTTTCACTCGGATTTCCTTCATAGGGTGAGGTGTCCACGTTGCTCTTATATTGGTCACAATGGATCCCTGAAATAAGAAATAAATAATTGAGAATTTAACATCCACTAATCCCAAAATAATATCAGCGAAATGAGAAGCTTAAATGCTTACCTGCAAACCATAACCACAAACCACAATTTGATCTCCTTCATGGTGAACACCGTTAACCAATACTGCATCAATAGTTGTGAAATCAATCTCACCGTTAAATGCCCAAGACAATTTTTTTTTAAACAAAACTTTTAAATGCAATTATGTCACTCCGCCATTAATGACTTAACAGGACGATAACGTTGCAGCTGTGTGTCGTGACGTTGTTGATACTTTTTGATGCTTAAAAAGCCCAAAACAACGTCGTTTTGTTTATGAAAAACTATACTTTGAAATAGATTCAAACTAAAAACCTTTATGAAGTAAACTTAAGAATTTATTATAATTTTAACAAAATTAATATATATGTTGAATAGCACCGATTAAGTTATTTAACAAGAATAACAACATCGCTGTCATCAAAGTTGAACCTTGTAGGACAGCTTTGATAATGGTTTTTTCAAGAGAGTAGCTAGTGTTGATAATTGTACTTAAAAGTAAATGTTAGTATAAAATTGACAACATTAAATACTTGATGTTATAATGAGTCAAGGCTTAAAGTTTACTAATATCTGTTGTAGTTTACCCTTGCTTTTTTAAATCACAAAAATAACTTTGTGATGCACGCCTTTATATTTATTGAAACACAAAAATATGTTGGTAAAACTATAATAATTAATAAATAAACATGTTGTACCTAATTGTAGGAAAAAGAAAATTAAATAGGTTACCTATCAATTAATACATGTGATTTAAAGATTAAATTGAGTAACTTACGAAATCAGAAGGGCCAGACGAGAATTTAACCAAAATAAAAATATACTGCACAGATCATCATCAGGACCAACGACGTGGATGCTAGTGCCAACAACAACATGATCAATGCCCTGTATAATGATATAACAAGAGATTAACTAATACTAATTTATTTGTGCATTTATCAGATGTAATAGAGAAGCAAATGTATTTCTGATTTCCAATCACCTGTCTCCCTGTGCCGGTTTGATCCCCTTCTTGTTGTTTCTGCATCTGATATAACAAGAGATTAACTAATAATTTATTTGTGCAGTTATCAGATGTGATAGAGAAGCAAATGTATTTCTAAGTTCCAATCACCCGACCTGTGCCGCTTTGATCTCCTGACCCTGTGTCGCTTTGATCTCCTTGTGCTTGTTTCTGTAGCTGAATGGTGATGGGGTTCCATAGTATTAGCATCTCCTTGAGAATTAAAATTGAGGTTGGATTTATCACATCTCATAACATCAGTAATGGTGTAACTCTCTGCATCCACGTAAATTACATCAACTCCACATTTCTTCACCTTGATATGTTTTTCATTTTTAAAGAATGGGACGTAGAATTGAAACGATGCCTCCTCATAATTCTGGTCTTCTTTAACCATATCCTTCCCACATAGAATGAGAACATGATAACCCTTGCACTTATGAATATTCCTAGCATTTCCCCCGGAAAATAAGTAACTTTTGCACTTTTTAAAACCACTGTTGCCATCATTACCACTGGCGGCTAACAGTTTATATTCACAGATTAATGGTTGCCTTCTAGAGCTATCGTAGTCAGTGAGATCGACCACAAGACATATAACAAAAACTAATAATCTTCTCCCACTACTCCTCCTTGTGGCTATCTTCAAACTTAATGAAGAATTCCTGCTCTGATATTCAAATCTATCTGCTGAAATTTTTTTTTCCCGGAAAACAATATAACAAATTTGGTTCGGGACCAATCGAGAACTCATGATCATATCGTGATGCCCATTTCTTTGCTAGGAATTGAATTTGAAGTGTAACCCCCTAGACCCGGCCTATGCGTTTCGACTAAGTCTAGTGGATCACATTATGATTATTAAAGACATTTTTCGAAACCGTTATTCCATCAATATAAAATCATATTATAAATAACATGAAATTATAAACAAATTATACTATCAAAATCCAACTCGTAAATATAGTACCAATAAATAATAATTTAATTTAAAACATGTCTTCAAATTCAATATCACAATAAACCGAGCAGTATTAGCAAAAGAGTTATCATTATAAAATCCGATATTTTAAAATAAGGTCCATGTCACCAAAATAAAGTCAACTTGCCAGATAAAAACATTACAATCTGATTTACTTCAAGAGATATGTTGATCCTCCAAGTGCTCGAACCAAGGTATCTAACCAACAGTATCTGAAAGGGGAAAACATTTTCAAAAGGTGAGCTAGGCTCAGTGTGTCCCAACATTTCCATAAAATCACAATAGGTACAAATCATAGTCCAGTAATCTCACAAATTCGTAAAAGAGTTTAACTTTTTGAAAATCATAGTTTAAACCCTTTTCTGGTACACCATCAGTAGTTTCCAAAATTATTTTCCATATAGCTTACTTTATGCACATAGAAAAAAGAAAGCCGACTTAAGGATAGGCTCTGAAGCTTGTATCCTTAAGCCCAAGTCAATAAGTCCATATAGCTTACCCTAAGCACACAGCAAAGGAAAGCCGACCTAATGAAACATCTTGGGGCCCTCAAGAGTCACATTAGGCCCAGTTAGCTTGATCAGAGCTATTCCATCGTAATTCAATTCCAAAATTCAATTGCACCGTGACATAAATTCCATAAATCAAAAAACATGGTAATCATATACAATTTCAAAACAAAAATTAGATAGCAGCCATATTCCCTAAATTGTCACATTAAATTGGTGCATCAATAAAACAATAACCAATGAATTCGGTGTACCACATATTAAAACCAATAAAACAGTTCAGTAATAAGTAGGGAACACACCTCGATAATAGATTCAAATAACAAATCTACTGATTGCTGGTTTCACCAATGAATTCTTCACCTTGATATGTTCTGCATTCTTGATGTAGAATTGAAACGATGCCTCCTCATAATTCTGGTCTTCTTTAACCATATCCTTCCCACATAGAATGAGAACATGATAACCCTTGCACTTATGAATATTCCTAGCATTTCCCCCGGAAAATAAGTCACTTTTGAACTTTTTAAAACCACCATTGCCATCATTACCACTGGCGGCTAACAGTTTATATTCACAGATTAATGGTTGCCTTCTAGAGCTATCGTAGTTAGTGAGATCGACCACAAGACATATAGCAAAAACTAATAATCTTCTCCCACTACTCCTCCTTGTGGCTATATTCAAACTTAATGAAGAATTCCTGCTCTGATATTCAAATCTATCTGCTGAAATTTTTTTTCCCGGAAAACAATATAACAAATTTGGTTCGGGACCAATCGAGAACTCATGATCATATCGTGATGCCCATTTCTTCGCTAGGAATTGAATTTGAAGCATGGCATTTTCCTCGATGTTATCAACTGAATCTTGATTCAAGCTGAAGCAATCAGAGAATATCATTGCATAGAGTCTTTCACCATCAGAAGAATGGAAATTTCGATCAGTGAAGGATACACTTTCTAACGATATGCAACCATGTGTATCCAAGAACTTCAGGTTTGATGGAAGCTCTGAGAGTAATTTGAGGCTCTGGCAATGAATCATTGTCAACCGTTGAAGATTATTTGAAGGCTCTGAAGAAAAGGACACTTCTTCTATTTTAGTGTATGAAAAATTTAAGTATTTCAACATATTTGGGAGTTCAGGAAGTTGGACCAAACTTATACACCCATTACAGACAAGGATTTCGAGGTTGATGGCTCCTAATAGATTAGGGATCTTCCTTAACTTCTCGCAAGCAAAAACATCGATTTCCCTTAAATTAACAAGATCGTGTACAAAAAAACATATAAAATCATTGTATTACTTGTAAGCATTATCTATTTACTTTAGTCGCATAACATATTTACTCGTAGATGAAGAGGAAGCATAAAAGCATATACCTCAAAATCTTCATTCCAAAGTTGTTCCATATAGCCCCTTGATAAATTCAACACTACAAGATTCTTTGGATTAAAATTTAGTGGTAAAGATTTGAAGGGATAACCGATCCACTCAAGATACCTCAACTCATTTGGAAGATTATTTGAAGGGTCTGAAGAAAAGGGTACTTTTTTCTATTTGAGTGAATGATAAATTTAAGTGATTCAACATCTTTGGGAGTTCAGGAAGTTCGACCAAACTTATACATCACTGACAGTTAAGGATTTCGAGGTTGATGGCTCCTAATAGATTAGGGATCTTCCTTAAATTATAGCAACTAGAAACGTCGATTTCCCTTAAATTAACAAGATCCTGTACAAAAAACATATAAAATAATTGTATTACTTGTAAGCATTATCTATTTACTTTAGTCGCATAACATATAATTATAAAATATTAGATTTGATGATCGTGAATTCACTAAACAAATTTTCTTCATTAAAAGAAGTATAATATATTTATTTTAAAAATCTTTTATACTTAATTATACATATTTTTTTCCAAGATGAAGGAAGCAAAAAAGCATATACCTGAAAATCTTCATTCCAGAGTTGTTCCATATTGCCCGCTTGTAAATTCAACACTACAAGATTCTTTGGATTAAAATTTAGTGATAAAGATTTGAAGGGGTAACAGTCCCACTGAAGACACTTTAACTCATTTGGAAGATATGCAATATCAATATCTCCATTTGTAAGTGATCTCTCAAAGACATCAAATTTGATATATCTAAGATTAGGCATGCTCTCAAAACATGTAGGACGTAACTTTAGGTTATATCTATGAGACATGTAGAACTTTATTCCTTCAATTCGGTCAGTTCCCTGATATAAAAAAACAATTTACCAAAGTATTAGTATAAGAAAGATTACATGCATTCTAGTTAAATAGTAAATAAAATGCAATTATATTAGGAAATGCTTACACTAATTGGACATATCATTAAACACGTTTGTTTTTATTGTCTTTTTATATAAAAGCAGTGCATTAGATATGTAACTAACCCAAAAAACACTAGAGCAGATCCTATGCCATATCCTAAGACATATATTTTACATAATATCAAGTGTGTGTGCGTGCGTGTGTATATATATATAAATAGTGTGATACTGAACCATAGGACATCATACGAAAGGGCAAAATGAATATAAATACAAACAACTCTTACTTTATTATTGTTGAGCACTTGATACACGTGCTTAGGATTCCACAGCCTTTTACGCTTTTCAGGGTATTCAGATTCTTGATCAACAATATCTTTACCCATTTCTTCAAGCATATCATGCATAGAAATCCGCCCACGAGAATTGATGTCAAATAGGCACTTGTCGAGCAAGCTGCTTAGTCCACTCACAGCACCTTTATACAAGCAACTTAGAATTTTTTCTACTTCTTCTTTTGATTCCCCTTTAAAGAAGCATACTAAGTCGAGAAATATATCCTTCTGTAGTTTATCCAACCCATCAAAGCTACTCTTCAAAATTTGTGAAATTTTGGGTTCATCAAACTTGTTTACTTTTTCCACCTCACTTTTCCACTCTTCTATACACTTTGAATATAACTTAGCACCCAAAATCTTAAGAGAAAGTGGACTGCCATGGGCTAACCGTACAAACTCGTAGGATAGATATAGAAAATCAACAGAAGGATTCAACTGCTTAAATGCAGTAATAGAACAAAGTTGAAGAGAATACTTCTCATTTAACTCTTCCACCTTATGTATTTGGGTGGCTCCTCCATTCTTCAACACTTGTCTATCTCTAGACGTTAGAATGATTTTACTTCCATCACCAAAATGTTTAACACCCATCCAGTCTACTTGTTCTGGGTCATTAACGTCATCGAGGACAACAATTACTCGTAAATTGTTCAGCCTCTCCCTGTAAGGGTACCCTATGGAAGGGGTGTCTATACGAATTTCTTTGTCCTTTAAAAGCATGGAAAGAAATTCGTTTCGCACGGATTCCCTCCCTTGTTTTTCTATTTTCCCTCTAACATTTTGAAGAAAGTAACAACTTTCAAACGTGTTAGAGACTTCCATATAAACAACATCAGCAAGGGTGGTTTTGCCAATACCACCCATGCCCCAGAGTCCTATTACTCGATTTTGCTTAATCAGCTCCAAAATCTTCTTTTTCTGATAATCTATTCCGATAAATTCTTCAGAAGCACTTCCAGAATAACTATTCATCAACTTATTTAATGCATATTCAACAATATCATTAATGTGCTCGGTTTCAGATCTGGCAGATAATGAGAAAAATAAAAGTTAAACCAAAGATAAAGTCAAATAAAGAAGATGAGTAAAAATATAGTTTACTTGTCAAATTGGACTCCAGCTATATGCCACCCTTTTAATTTACCGGCTTCAGCAAAGGCCGCTTTCCATCGCTTCACTTCATCACGAGGCCTATCTGATTCATGGACATCAAAGGATGCTTTGAAACTGCCACCAAAATTCCGAACGTCAGAGGGATCAACATGATAAAAGATGGGAAGAACAATTTGACCATGAGTTTTCTTGCGGTCCATGATATCAGAGAGTTCAGCCAAGCATGATTTTGAAGAAGCGTAGTCTTTAGACAAAACGATGATGGAGAGTCTCGATGCTTCGATTGCTCGAGAAAGTGCTGGTGAAATACGCTCCCCTCTTTCCAATTCTTCTTCATCGAAGAAGACACCAAATCCCTTCCCCTTTAAAGCTTGGTGTAGATGAGAGGTGAAGTTAAGACGTGTGTCTTCACCCCTAAAGCTCAAGAAAACTTGATACTTCATTGGAGGAGAAGAGGAAGAAGAAGCCATGAAAGGGTACTGATTGAAGCAAAAGAGAGAGAATAACAGGGGAGCTTGGCTTGGCTTGTTTTATTCTGGTAAGAAAATAATGAGTAACATTATTATTGGTGCCTTTTATTGACCCTGGAAGAGACTGGACGCGTTTTCGTTAGACTTGTAGCATTGTGGACGACTTTCTTTAGCCTTTTTACCGAAATATCACCCATTAACTTAATAATTATTTATCAGACATTCTTTCTCTTAATATTATTGATGTAATATTGTTTCTCACAAAGCACGGATTGTCATCTGCGTCTTTGCGGAGTTCTTTCCGAACTAATGTCACGTCAAGAAAGGCGCGGATTACTATCTGCACTTTATTCGAACTGGCGCTACGTAATGTAAGGCGCGAATAGTCATCCATCTATAATTTAATCTATTTAATCTATTTAATCTAAAATCTAAAATATAATCTATTTAATTGAAAAAAAAGGTAAAAGTGAAATTGATAAAAGAAAAATAAAAATATTAAAAACTGAATTTATATTTTTTTAAAAAAATATATTTAAATCTTGAGAAGGAAATGACTTTATATTAAGGTAAATTACATGGATGACCATCTATTTATAGGGTTGTGTCAATATAGTCATTATTTTAAAAATTTCACCAATATAATCACTTAACTATTTAATTGGTTTTAATATAGCTGTTAATATTTGATGGAAGTGCTGACATAGTAGTTAATAAGATTGGTATAGTTACATATTTAATCCTCAATAGTTACACATTCTATTAATGTATAGTCATAGTTTTAATTTAATTAAAAAAATAAATCATTTAATCAGGAGGTGTCACATGTCAATAAGTTATTTTAACACATTTCAATAGTGACTTGTGTCACACCTTATTAGAGAGTTTTTTTAATTAAATTTAATATTTAATTCAATTAATTTTCCCACCAATTAAGTGGTGAGGTGTGACCCTGAAAGCTTGATGCATTTGGTTCAATTCCTCTGAACAATAAATGTTTCCTCTCATTTTTCTCTTTAAATTGGCGGTGATATATGTCACCACCTAATTGATGAGAAAATTAATTAAATTAAATAATAAAATTAATTAAAAACTCTTCAATTAGATGGTTACACATGTCATTATTTAAATGTGTCAAAATAACCAATTGTATGACTTTCTTTTTGAATTAAATTAAAACTAAGACAATTTTTTTTGCTCGGCAATTATAATTTTTATTAATATAACTATAAAGACAATAATCAATGAGAGTGTCTCGTTAAAAACCTCTCTAATCCTAAAAGGATGAAAAAAGTACATTCTCCCCGACAATATAAAAAGAGTCAACACCAAACAACAAAATCACCCAACAAAACACAACCCCAAGCTTACAAAATCACTCCTGCAAAAAGGAATCACTGAAGTGAACGACAATACCCACACCTAACAATTGCATGAAGCATAGAATAACTTGATGAGATCCTTTTCTAATGACCTTGCATGTTTCACATTGTGGTTGGGCTTATTATCACATTAAAACCCACAAGCTTGCTTGATCGTAAACAACTGAGATAGCTCTACAAAAGCCTTGTTTCATGCCAGAAAACTGCATTACACGAAACTCAAATCAAGCATGACACTCAACAGTTAACACGCCTCCTACAAATTAGACCTTCCAAAACGTTCACAGTTTTTTTTTGCTCAGCATAAATATTTTATTGATGATAAAGTCAACATGTCCACGCCTAAACTGTGTGCCTCATTAAAAACCTCCTTAAACCTATATGGAGGAAAAGAGTACAACACAATCAAGCATTGGAACAACGTTCAAAACAAACACAATCAAAATCTGCTGAACGTGAAGGCACCCTGCAACAACCTGCTGCAATCAATATACCTTGCAACACAAACATAGACAACAAAATTGCAACTAAAAACACCTGTAAACCCATCAAAACCTATTCACCCATGCCAACAGAGTAAAAACAAAACCCCAAAAAACCACCCTAAACCACTAAAACATGAAAGCAGAACCAAAGGTTAACTGTAAGTATTCAAATCAACCTCAACCAAAACCTAAAGCAGCCACAAACCAGACCATGAATCGCCACAACATAAGACAACGAACAAAAAGAAAATTCTTCAGAACCGTTCTCCCCACTTTCCACCACGCTTTGATTAATTCTTGTCTACAAAGACCCGCATTTGCAAGAAGATCAGCCATTGCAATTTTCGATCTTGAGACATGAACAAATTTCAAAGTATCGAAGCAGCACAAATAAACCAAAAACGATTTTGCTTCTCCTCGCAATCGGACTTGAAAGCAGAATTCTAATAATTCATCTATTGTCCTAAGTTACAACCAAATCACCCGCCACCAAACTCTTGTTGACATGACCAATTTATTAACCACTCCGGAGACAGTGTTTTTCTCGTTCCAGCAAGCATCTTACAACTAATCTCCCATACAACGTCCTGCCAGCTTCCATTGCCAACAATTATTTCTACAACAACCAATTTCCTTTGAAGCATCCTGTACAAACGGGGAAAGACATATCTAATATCCTTAGAGCCACACTAACAATCCTCTCATAACATCACTGTTATCTCAGCTGAAGCCATTCATCCTCAACAAAACAAGGCGGTTCCTACTATTTTCCTGTTTGAACCATGTAAAATTCCTCCCCGCTAAAGGCATACCAAAAAGATCACACTCTGCAACGAACGTGTTGAAAGCTGCAATCTCAGTTTGACTAAAAGAGCAGCCAATTCTCTCACTATGGTTTCGAATGGCATTAAAGTCACCAGCCATGAATCAATTATTAATTAAATTTCCCCTCTCAACCATATTCTCATTCCATAGTGAGCCTACATGACAAGGAGCATAAGCATTCAACACTGAGCAATTCGAAAACTGTGAAGCATACCTCCCTAATAAAAGAAAGAATATGTCCTTTAAAAAACGACTCTTATCCCACACAGTCAGCAGACCCCCAACATTACCCACAGCTTTCGAGAATCTAAAATCGACAACATCATCGCACCAAAACCTCGCTATATTCGATTCAGTCAAATCTCTTTTTTAGTTACTTGAATCAAAACAATCACACACTTATACATCCTAACAATCCTCCGCAATACAGAAATTATATTGGAGTCATTAAATTTTAATATTGCTTTAATTAAGGTTATTATCGTCATATGATATTTTATGTGTATTTTTCCTAGTAAGTTTGTATCTTTGGATAAGATAATAACACATGATATAATTTAATGAAAACTATATATATATATATATATGTGGATAGATTATGATGTAATTTGAACCTAAAATTCTAAAATTCTTAAGGAGAGTATAATATTTAATCATAAGATTATACATTATTATTTTAATTTTAATAAAAATATTATTTAAGTTAAAGTATAATTAAAATTAATTTTATTTATTCTATTTTATAAAAGTATATTAATTCTAATATAAATTACAAAATGATATAATAATATTTTGAACATTCCAGAAGTTTTAATGCCGTGTGTCAAGTCACTAGTGGGACCATCTTAAAGTATTGATTTGAATTACACAACAAGCTTAATGGTGCATGCAAGAACTATAAAAAATGATAGGCGGAGCGAGGATCACTCTAAATCTCATGTTTACAGATTTTTCTTCACAAATTTATCTTATAAATTAGAGTCACCGAAAAAATAAACACAATATCAACAATAAAAAATACAAATGCCAGGAACAAAAGGAATCGAAAACGGTGGAGTTTATGCAGCAATCTGCATGATTGTCTTTTTTGTTCCGATCGTTCAGTCTCAGAGTACACAGATACCAGAGGACAAATCCAAGGTAAATGATTGGTTCAGTAGCGTTATCAAGCCTCTCAGTCAAAGGGCTGGCACTTTAGACCCAGAATTGGTTCAGGCCGAGGCTGAACCTAAAATCATAAAGGTTAAGCAAGGTGACGGTGGAGATTTCGCTACCATAATGAAAGCCATTGACAGCGTTCCAGCTGGGAACAGCAAACGCGTTATAATATCTATCGGACCTGGATCTTACCAAGAGAAAATCACGATCCCTCGAGACAAGCCTTACGTTACACTGGTGGGGGACCCCAAAAACATGCCCAATTTGACATTTGATGCCACCGCCAAGGACTATGGAACTGTAGACAGCGGCACTCTCACCACCTTGTCTAATTACTTTGTGGGTGCTTATCTCAACATAATAGTAAGCTCCAGAATTTAACCAGCACATATGCTTATATTTTAACTCAAATTATAATTGATGTTTAACTTTATAGAGATAGTAAGAGAATATTTTGAGATATTTTAAATAAATAAATATCAAACTTTAGTACACATGAGATATTATGTATATGTATCCTTAGCATGTGGTTGCATGTATATGTTATCTAGGGTAGACATTGAAATCTAAATTTCTTTAGATTCATTGTTTATTTTATTGATGACGTCTAATCTGAATTTTATTTGTATACGTCCATACAAAAATTTCTATTATTAATACATATGTACATACCCTAGAATATATTTCATGATGAACATGATGATCTATACGTTTATAATGGATTATTATTCTTTTCACCAGTAGAAATAAAAAAAATTGAACATCGTTAAATCTCATCTTTTACACGTATTATACATGTTGATATCGTTTTATTTATTTTCTCCACTAATAAATTCTTAACAACATGTTCTTCCTTGAATTGAATACATTGTTAACTTTCAATAATTTGTTATTATACATAGAACAGTGCTCCGAAGCCTGATGGGAAAAGGGAAGGAGCACAAGCGGTTGCCTTGAGAGTATCCGGTGACAGATCGGCATTTTATGGCTGCAACATATTCGGTTTTCAGGATACAGTGTGCGATGACAGGGGGAACCACTTCTTCAAGGATTGCTATATTCGAGGCACCGTTGATTTCATTTTTGGAAGTGGGAAATCTTTATATCTGGTATACAGTTAGAAAACACATGAAATACGATATATATATATATATATATATATATATATATATAGATATGCCAGAATTTGATTG